ATACAATGAAAATATTTAGGTTCAGGTTAAGTCACTGTGTTTCCAGAATTAAGACTTAACCTTAAAGACTCCAAAAAGCAAGCATGTGATTTTGTTTTTTTAAGCTAATGAATATATTGCCACAAGAACCAGTTTACATAAAGTTTGTCTTATTTTCCTACAGAGTGTTGGGAGACATGTTTTTTATCAAGCATGGCAGGTCTCTCTTGTAAATGAGTCCTCGAGGCTCAGTGAGACTAACATGTATAAATAAAAGTTGAATGAAAAGTGTGCTACAAGATAAAGGATGGAAAACAAGTATTCCAGATTATCTGTCTTCAAAAAATATATATTATTCAATTCTCTAGGCAGGCCTTTAATTGCTTTAAATATCTTGATTTGTCCCTATGGAAACAAAGTGTTGGCCCACTCCTGCTCTGACTCCTTTTGCTGTGGAGGAGCAGCAGCTCTACTCTGCGTTTAGGGTGACCAGATACCCCCAAACTGAATGTGGGATTAAAAAAAAAATCCTTACGGGGCAATGCAGGACACTTATCTATTCATTCAACCTTTATTTATACAGGTTAGTCTCACTGAAATTTGAGAGACCTGGAATTTGCTGTGATGTCATCATAAATTTTAATTTATTATAGATCTCACATTACGTTAATCAAGCTCTGCTTTGGCTGTTAGTGGAATGTTTAAAAAAGTTTTAAGAAAAAAAAAACTTATTTTTAGTTGGACCCTTGTTTGTTTATTAGAAAAAGCTTTATTAACACACTTTTCTTTAAAGTGGAACATTTTTTAAATGTTTATCATTATTAAAATAAAAAAACAAACCTCTTGACAACTGAAAAAGTGGGGATGCCGCTGCACATTTTGACTGACAGCTGTGCAGCTCAGAGAAAATGTCTCTGCTTCCTTTGCTGCAAAGGAGGCAGAGAGAGAAAGGAACGATGACGTTATTAAAGCATGGATAATGCATTTTTTAATCTGACCCAGTCACATGTGAGACATTACTTCAACTTGCAGGTTGTTGGGACAGGAGTGAAAAACATGGGACAGTCCTGCACATTTCAGGACATCTGATCAACCTTTTTGCATTCCACCTTGATGACCAACCCTCCCACCTCTTCTCTAAGGACGAGCCTTGTCACCGTATGGAAGAAACTCATGTTTCCAAGATCTCAGACATTTTTGATCCTTTAATCATGACCATAGGTGAGGACTGGAAGTTAGATGGACCTGTAAACTCAGAGCTTCACATTTTAGCTCAGCTGCTTCTTTACCCCCACAGACCAGAGCAACATCCTTCTTACTGCTGACAAGGTCTCGATCTGTCAATCCGTCTCTTGATCCATCCTGCCATCACTCATGAACAATAAATCTCTGCTCGAGGCAAAAACTCATCCCCAGTCCAACAGGAAGCATTTCATTTTTACAGATTTTGAATTTTAAAATGTAAAACTTTTCTTTCTGGTTCACTGGTGGACACTTGATTTAGTCAGTACCAGTGTTTTTTTGTTAAACAAGTTAGCAACAAACAATATCAACAAACTATTTAGTTGAAGTTAAATGTGCATTAATGGTGACAAGAGATGACAATTTCACATACATGTATGTTTGTTCTGATTAAAGTTCAACATCCATTTGAGTGACACAAATAAGGTTGATAAGATTTAAAATTGATCATTTACTTTATTTCTTTACCGTCTTTTTAATGTCATGTATCTCCCTAATAATCATTCAAGACAGTGGTACATTTAACAGGACAATTAAATCTACTACCAGAACAAGTCTGTTAATTAATGAAAGGAGGAAAAAGTGAGAAAAAAAAAAATCCTATCTGTAAATGTCGTCAGTATTCTCTGCTTCTTCTGCAACACGACTGAGTGGGTGATAACTGTCAAGATAACATCCATACGAATGTGAGGAGCCAAGATTTTCCAGGATAAAAAAAAAAGGATGAGCAAAGGTACGTCTGTCAGGGTTTCAGTCTGAAGGGTTTTGAGTCTCCCTGCGGCCTGAGTGGTTTTAGAAAGATATGACAAGTGCTGTTTGATCTCCTGACATCGGAAAGAAGATTTTACTTTTTGTCAAATCATCTGGACAAAAAAATGTTTCATTTCATTGTTTTTATTGTACTTGAAATAACAAGTTAAATAGCCTTGTTTTTTTTCCCCTTCTTCTTCTTTTTGTTACATGTTTACTGTTATGGCTGATAATACTTTTTTTTTACGTAACAGTTTGTTGGGAGTTTCCCAAATGTTTTTTTTTTTAATATATATAATGTGTTTATAAGAGCGTTGTTCAGTGCTTCCTTATCTGTTTTGCTGTTATAATTTATAAATCAGCAAAAATGAGATTTGAAAAGGAGATTTAGTAAAATGTAATTGTTTTTTTTTTTCCCAAACACATTTCCATGTCAGCTCCTCAAACTGTGTAGAAAATTAATTTTTCTTCTTCTTTCGGCTGCTCCATTCTTTTCGCCGCAGCAAACTAAGTCGCACGAAAACATTTTTTTTTCTCTCTATTTTCTCTATTTTTTTAGAAGCAGAGAAAACTTGGCAATTATTTTGACACCGGATGCCCTTCCTGACGCAACCACAGACCATCGAGCTACCACAGCCCTCTGTGTGGAGCAGAGCGCTGCTATCTAGGGCATCCAGGGGGGATTAAGGGCCTTGCTCAAAGGCACAGTGTGGGGGAAATGAGGGTTGAAGCAGGTATGGGTATTTTACCTTTTCCACTCACATTTTGATGTTGTCGGTATGAGGAGTTGAACCGGCAACCTTCTGATCCACCTCTAACCACCACTCCCTCTGTAGAAAATCTGAATATTGTTTTTAAAAAGTAAAAAAATTGAATTTTCTTCATGTTTTGCGTTGATTGCATTCATTTTCAGACATTTTTTTGTTTATTTTGTTTTACATTTGTTTTATTGCAGATGCATTTCTGAACAAAGTTTAAGTGTTCATGATTCAGCAGAGCATTATGTTGCTGTATTCTTAATTTGCTGCTGTGAGTTGCACATTTTCTGTTCCCGTAAAGCCTCTCAAATCACTGCCATAAAACAAAAACATTATGCTAATTCCTGCTTTAGTGTGACTTGCCTTCTGAATCGTTGGTGTTATTTGCAAACACTTGAAAATTAGGTGGGTGGAAAGAAGCAGCGTAATTGTGAAGCAAATGTCACAAGTAGACTGTAAACACTGAAAATCAATTAACAAACTAATGATTCCCTGTTTGCACGGTGGCACAACTGGTAGAGCTGGTGCCTCTCAGTGAGAAGGTCGCCAGTTCAAATCCCGGTTCTGAGACCCTTCTGGGTGGAGTTTGCATGTTCTCTTTGTGCATGTGTGCGTTTTCTCCGGGTGCTCCAGTTTCCTCCCACAGCCCAAAAACATGCATGTTAGGCTGATTGGTAACTCTAAATTGTCTCTAGGTGTGAGTGAGAGAGTGAATGGTTGTTTGTCTCGTTTGTCTCTGTGTCCCTGTGATGGACTGGAGACATGTCTACCCTGGAGACATGTCCACCCCGCCTCTCGCACAGTGACACAAAAAGGAAGAAACGGATAAAAATAATGGATGGACGGATGAACTATTTCTTTATTACAGTTTTTAAAGTCAAACAAACACTTGCTCTTGTCAAAACAAAACAAATGGTAAAGGACACAAGACTGATATTTATTACAGGCCTCCTGGAACATGTTTTAAAATTTATTGTGTGGTCTTTGTGTATTTTTTTACTCAACTTTTCTCTTACATCACTCTGTCTTCTAGTATTTATTGAGCAAAATGTCTGGTCATTTAGTCAATATCTGCCGTGCATTGTCCTACTAAAAAGGATACAAGAGTGAGAATACAGGAGTGAGTCTTGATTTTTTATTTTTTTTAAACTCATCTATCATTTTCTTCACACTAATTCATCCTCACTCAGTCATTTCTGTACTGGCTTTTGTTTATGTTCATGGGGGTGTTTTTCCCAGCAGCCAGGGCATGAATGTTAGTTCATCAAGAGCCGTACTCAAATTTTTATTAGTTATTGTCACTGACATGACAAACGTCCTTTAGGTCTGTCTGCAGTCATTCATTGCAATAAAGAAACTATCATGTCGTGTATTTTCATTCAAACATAATAATTACTTTGTATTTAAACGGCAAATGTCAATGATCTATTGCAGCGTCCTTGATTAAAATAAGCAATCATTGCATTGTTGTAAAAAAAGGTTACTAATCAGACAGACAGTGACTGTAAACAGAAATCAACCCACTTCTTTATACATATTCTACATTTGATTACACATAAAATGAGCATTGATTATTGATGTGAGTTTGGAAACGAATGTGAATCACCAGTCAAACAAATTAAAGCGATATTTCAGATCTTCTGCATTGGGATTCTGTGGAAAGGCTATGAATAAATAATATATTACCTGTTGTAGATAGCATTTGCAGTTTGAAGAAAAGGTTCACTTCTGAAATAATGAACTAACGGCTAGCTTAAAGCATAATTAGATGTGTTAAAAAAAAAAAAAGTTAAATTGAAATATAAGCTTCTATTTTGGGTTCATATATGTGAGCATCCGATTCCAGACGAGTCAGTGCCTGCAAACCTCACCGCACATCACTGATTTACACCACAAACCACACAGTTATTCCTATTATCGTTTACTTTATCTATAGTTGTAAGCCAAAATAGCAGCAGCTAGCTGTAGCACTTTCAGTATATATTTAATTCAGAAAAATATATACACTTATACAGATTTGCAATCAAGCTGTCAGAGGAGCATCTCTGTTGGAGTTGATAGGCATTTGCTTTTTTTTTCTGTATTGTAGGTTGTATGAGTAAATTCTTATTTACATATTAAATTTGATCTTTTAGTTTATAATTATGAAGACAATTTAAGTTATTTGTAAGAAAAAGAATGTGTGAAAACATCACTGTGTGATGAATGAGCTCAAGTTACTATGTACAGTGCACTACCACCATCTGGTGGTAAAATGTCACTACAATTACTCTGTTTTACAATAAAGTATATTTTTAATGGAATGAATTAATTTGTGTTCCTTTTAAAATTTGCCAGAGGGAGATTTGGACATTAAATGTTTCCTAGTGTTCTTTTCTGGTCTAAGTAGGATTATGTAGCACTTTGGAGCAAAAATGCAACCCAGCAATCCATAACTTGAGGCCAGGATTGCAAACACCTCTGTGACAGTGGCGTACTTTCCTGGAGAGCTGATGTAGGCAGGAATGAATGCCACCCACACGGCACAAAAAATTAACATGCTGAAAGTGATGAGTCTGGCCTCGTTGAAGCTGCCCGGAAGTTTCCTTGCCAGGAAGGCCAGCAGAAGACAAAGGCAGGCCAGAAGGCCGATGTAGCTCAGAACCAAAGCAAATGCAATTTTTGAACCTTCGTCACAGAAGAGAATAACAAAAGGTTTCTCCCGTGGCATCATTTGGTGCGGGGCAGGGGGTGCCACAATCAGCCACATTGTACATATGATTACCTGCAGGAAAGGAACATGTCATACTTACACATTTTAAGCCAAAAACGTCTAATATTACATTTGTTTTACTTGTAGAAGTTAGAACTCGAATCTGGAAATGAATTCATACTTAACAGTTATAGTTTTGTTTTCAGATGAAATTCAGAAATTCAAGCTAATTGTGCTCACTCTGCATTTTATACATTTAAACACTGTAGCAACATACTTCCAATAAAGGATGTGCATAACTATGAGTGCAACTGGTTTTTAGAGAAACAACCCAACAAACTATAACATTTATTATAGTAGTTGTCACTATTTGTATGCACTAAGTAGCTTTATAGAATATAAAGGTTGTGGTTGTTGGGGAACCTAAAACTTTCTGGATTGGAATTTTAATCTTGTTTTTTAATGCATTTTTTTTGTGGCTTGGACCTGAGAAATTTAAACTTCGGATTACAAATGGAAATTATCATTAGAGCTTAGTAAAAGCAAAAAATATTTACCTGGGCTAGTGTACAAATGGTAATAACTGACTTTTGCTGTGCAGGTCCACACCATTTTATAACATTGTTCCCTGGGAGTGCTGCTTTAAAGGCTATTAGCACCACAATTGTTTTCCCAAGAATGCAAGAGATACAAAGAACAAAGCTGATCCCAAATGCTGTGTGGCGCAGCATGCAGGACCACTTAGATGGCTGGCCAATGAAGGTCAAAGAACACAAGAAGCAGAGGGTCAATGAGAAGAGCAACAGGAAGCTTAGGTCAGAATTGTTAGCTCTGACAATGGGTGTAGTTCTGTTGCAAAAAAATATCAAAACCACAGCGCAGGTGCTGAGGGAGCCAAAGAGGGAAATAACCACCAAAGTGATGCCGATGGTGTCATTAAAAGAAAGAAATTCCACTTGTTTCGGGACACAGGTGGTCCTTTCATCATTGGACCAGAACTCTGGTGGACACGGCACACATTCTATGGCATCTGAACAAATCAGAAAGAAGGTACACTGAGTTTTTGTTTATTTTTTTTATGTCTCTGTTATACTGTAGGACTTTTAATACACATTAAGCTTAAATGTCCTTCTCTCACCAGTCTGATTGCTAATCTCTCCAGCTGTGCAAGTCACACAATCATAGCAGCAGACAGGGAAGTTGGGTCTCATTGCCTTCCTGGTGCCTGGGTGACAAATGGAGCTGCATACTGACAAGGGAACCTTGGAAAAAAAAAAAAAAAAGTCAAACTACAACGATCAGCAAATTAAACACCATGTAATAATGACAAATCTGCAAATCTAATTTTTATTTTAATTTACAGAATCTTCTACTTTGGTTTGGTTTCCAGTCCATAGAATGTTTTCTTCTCGGAGCTGAAGTTTTTGCTTTGTAATCGGGGTCAACCCTTCAAATTTTCCTACATTGACAAACTCCACCCCCCCGTTTGGCTTCAGCTGCCAGTTCACCAGATCGTACATGGCTGCAGGGTCGCCATTCTCATCAAACTTTATTACATCGGCAAACAAATTCACAAACTGCACTTGTTTTAAATAATGCAGTAGCTAAGGAAAAAAAAATACATGATTAAATGACAGTAACTAAGTCATATTAATTTAAATTTGGTAGTAAATATACTGTATGGAAAGGTACCTGCCATGGCTGAATGTTGTCTCCATCTGGACACGTCTGCAGAGGGAATGGCCCTTTTCCTTTCTCACAGCTTTTCAGATTCTTTAGTGCATAAACAACAGCATATACAGCTTTATAGACATTGTAGGAAATTCTCAGCTGTGACACATCTGAATAGATATTCGTTACACTCCTGAGTTCTTCTGTTCCATTGCACGGAGGTTTACCCTCAGATTTTTCTTTCTGACCTTCAACTTGCTCACTCAGACTGCACTGAAACACCTCTTCCCAGAAGGGTATAAGGAAGGGATCTTCCTGGGCATCTGCTTTTAATGGATTTAAACGGACCAAAAAGTCTCGTAGTCCAGGAATGTGTGCTTGCTGAATAGCAAATCCAACAGTACCCTGGAGGATGCGATGGTACTTTCTGGGGGTGGAAAGTACAGCAGCTGTACTCCAAGCTTCACTGGCCAGCCACTGAATTCCAGTCAGCCCAGCTCTAAATTTAACAGAGATGGAGATTGCAGTTGTGCAGACAAGCACATCATGGAATCAAACTCAAACAAAATAAATGAGATTGCCAACATCTGTCGCTGGGTTTGTGTCATACCTGAGTGCTTCATCAAACAGTATCACTGCATCTTGTTCCACAGCGAACACTAAAACCACCTGAGCCCCAGACAAACGGATAGTGGAAATGATGGATAAAATATCTGTCGGCTTTGGGTTTTTGGGAATGATTTTATGTAAGGCAACACAAACACCAAACTTTTTGACCTAAGAGACCAGAATCAAAGATCCATGACAATTTATTCTTAACAGTAGGATAGTATAAAATCACGATTTATTGATTATTTCTTCAGTGGGTGTGTGATGCACCTCATTTGCAAAGATGGTTGCCCCGTTGTAACCATACGCATCATCGCCGGCAATCACACCCACCCAAGTCCAACCAAAATGTTTCACCAGTTGTACCAGGGCATCAACCTGAACAAGGGCAGATGAAAGAAGTGAAACGTACATAGAATTTTTTCGTTTGTCTACAACAGTTTAAGCATTAGCTGGCTCGAACCTGGTAGAAATCACTGGGCATGGTCCTTAAAAAGGCTGGGAACTCCTTTTTGTCACTCAGACAGGCACAGCTGGAGAAATAACTGACCTGCAAAATGGTTTCATTGGTTTTAAAGTGAACAGCCAGAGTGTGATGTTATAGAAATAATCTGCACAAGCCAAATCAGGAACAACACAAATTATTTAAAAGATGATTGTGGACAAACAGAAAGAATACCCTACAACATGCTGCTTTATTCTGCCTTCACAGTACCAAACTTGTACAGTATTGCATTCCTCATGAATTTACTTGTGGCACATGGAAGACTCCAAGGAAATGAGCCACAACAAGAGACTGAGTGGAGCCTCCATCTCCAATCACCACAGGCACGCTCCCATGACAAGTGTCATTATTCTGGGTCTTTTCTTCAGTATATGAATTATTCTCCTTTCCCATTAACTCCACTGCAGCCTTCAAAGCTTGATATGGCAAACTGCATGAATCATAGATCTTGTACCCGACTGTGATGTTTGGAAGAAGTTTGCCTTCTCTGTTGATCTCCTCAATGGCAAAGATCATAGTCTGCATCCAACGGAAAGTTCGAAAATTTAATCTGGTGAAAGGTAAAATTAACACCGCAGCAAATTTAGAGCAATTTTATTTTTTGACACCTTAAAAAGCTGAACACATTCACAAGTGCCCTACAGCTACCAGTCAAACACTCCAAGTACCTGGTACACGTTGTGGGAGGAGGCTGAGCGGTGAAAGACAGATTGTGCTCCACCACCATGTCATGAAGGGAGAAGAGTCCCCCCAGGATGATGTCCCCCCTTTTCTCTAGTACAGGCAGAGATGTAGCATTGGAAATCAGCTGACATTGACGGCTCTGGTCTTTGTAAGAGTCCAAAGAAAAAAGCCCATTCCACAGAAAACTCCACAGCACAAGCCTGGCTCCTCTCAATGTGAGAACAGGCTCAAAAAACACCATCCAAAAAAAAATCATCTTATATCATAATATGTTCATAGTAGTTCAGATTTTAGAAGATAAGTCTTCAAATAATATAAACGACTGAAAAAAAAGTTGCTGAAACAACTACCAGCTATCACTATCCAGCAGCTAGGGTCATGGTGTCCTTAAATAAACCAAACAAGACCTGCATCATATTACAACTGACAGAACGACATATATTTTTGGATCAGTAGAAATTAATACCGCTTCACAGACGGTAATAACAACAACCAGAATAGAATGGACACTTGACTTTAATGGAGAAAGACATGAACTCTGTACGCTTGAGTAGGATTTGTTCAACCTGTGTGATATAATGAGCCACACAGAAGACAAGTCATCTGGGGCTGCTAAACAACATTACATTCAGTTAATGCCTTTCAAAGACACAAAAGTTTCCATCTTTTCAGAGACCATCATACTGATGGTTTTCCTCTTTACTTAATTAAACCCATTAAGCTTAATATGGATAGTCTACAGTTTGTTTAAAGTAAGGGCCTAATAGTATATGTGCACAATATGTATAATTGTGAACAAATTGCATGACTGTAGTACCCATGATATTGCAAAAATATATGCTAGTTTTGCTAAAATCCAAATTTTTTTTATGTCTTACTATCTTTTCACTGGATTATGTATTTATTTTTTACTTTTAGTGAAAAAATAACTGTACAAGGTAATGCACAAGTCATTGGGGGTGTTTCCCAGATCATTATCAAGACAAGCCCTGCAGGCTACAAAACAGAGCACCCTGAAATATGAAGCAAAGAGAATATTACACGCAGCATGTTGTGCTGCCTCTGGCCATGTATGTGTTCTTATGCTCCTAATATGTCCCTGTGTGACACGAGAGGAAAGAAAGCTGCCCTAAGATACAATGCTGATCTCTAACTTCCTTTAACAAGATTCTCATGTCAAAAGATCATTTACTTTCAGCAGACAGTTTTAGAATTAAATTGAAACAAAAACAAAAGGTTTGTAAGCTCAATCATCCAGGTAGATAACAACAAAACAGGTTAAATCATGTCATCTGGACCAGTTTCTTTAAGTGAGAAAAGTTTCATCCCCCATCCGGAGGACTTCATCACCAAATATGACACAATTTAAACGTTTTTGTTGTTATCTATCTGGATGATTTAGTGTACAAACTTTTTTATGAACCACTTTGGCTTTGATTGCGATCAGGATGTTTCTGAGTAGTAAGTTGGACATCTGGCCTAAAACATTTTATTGTTGTTCGTTGATTGCTTTGGATGGGTGCACTCTGTTTGCATTATTTGTGAGATTCCAACAGGAGGTTGGCTTGAAACACAGCAATGAAGGCTACTTATTGGACAGATCTGGTTTGCAGGCTGCAGACTGACGAAGTCCTCTGGATAGGGGGACGCAACGTTTCTCACTTAAAGAAACTGGGCCAGATGATATGATTTAACTTTATTTGTTGAAACTAAACTAGTTGATTAAAAGTACTGAGGCTGTTTTCACAAAAGTCCTGTGTATCAAGATAGTTTAAAGCCTGTGAGTACTGAATGCTCCCTTTTGTTGTTTCAGTGCTAAATTTGGAGAGATGTACTAAAACAAAAAAAAACAAAAATTAAAAAAAGTGCTAGACAGTAATATTGACGAGTGGTAAAAAAGTCAATAATGTTACATAAACATAAAATAATGCATCAGAAAGAATCACAAGTAAAGACAAACATTGGGTGTATTGGAGAAAATACAAAACATGAAACAAGTGAAAAGAGAGAGAGAGAGAGGGTATTAGAAGACAAACACAAAAGGTGTGAGAATACAGATTTGTTTACTAACAGTCTGAGTGATTAAACCAAATCTATTTTTTTTATTTGATTCTCTGCTTCAATCTTTATTATCAACATCAATGCAATGTTAAAGAATAACTCAAAAGCTGATTTTTCAACTTCTAACAAGGTTAAGTCAGGTCATCTGGATGGATTCTTCTTTCTTGAAATGTTCCGTCTTTTATCCAAAAGACTTCTTCAGTCTGAAACCCTGCAAGAAAACTCAGTCTTATGAATAACTTCTTGTCATAGTGGAGTTCCTCAGGGCTCAGTGCTTGAGCCAATACTCTTTACTTTATATATGCTTCCATTAGGTAAAGTTATTTAACAGCATTGGATACATTTTCATTGTTATGCTGATGACACACAATTATATTTGTCCATTAAACCCAATGAATCCAATCAGCTACTTAGATGACAAGCATGTCTTAAAGACATAAAAACCTGGATAACCCTTAATTTTCTCTGTTTGAATACAGACAAGACTCAGGTTATGGTTTTTGGACCTGAGCACCTTAGGAATGAATTATTCAATCTTTCTCCCTCCTTAGATGGCATTAATTTGGCCTCCAGCTCTAATGTTAAAAATCTTGGTGTTATTTTTGATCAGGACATGTCTTTTATCCCCCACATTAAAACTGTTACTAGAACTGCCTTCTTCGGCCTGCGTAATATCGCTAAAATTAGAAACATCTTATCTAAAAATGATGCAGAAAAACTGGTTCATGCATTTGTCACATCTAGACTGGACTATTGCAATGGTTTATTATCTGGGTGTCCAAATACTTCTTTAAAATGTCTTCAGATGATCCAAAATGCTGCTGCCAGAGTCTTAACGGAAGTAAGTAGGAGAGAACATATCTCTCCAGTTTTAGTTTCTCTCCATTGGCTCCCTGTCAAATCCAGAATATAATTCAAAATCTTACTTCTAACCTACAAAGCTCTCAACAACCTGGCTCCATCTTATATTACAGATCGTATTGTTCCATATTTTCCTAACAGAGAACTTCGCTCTCAGACTGCAGGTTTACTTGTGGTTCCTAGAATTTACAAAAACAGAATGGGAGGCAGATCTTTCAGTTATCAGGCTCCTCTCTTGTGGAACCAACTTCCAATCTCTGTCCGTGAGGCTGACTATCCAGTTTAAAACTAGGCTGAAGACTTTCCTTTTTGCTAAATCCTATAGTTAGGGTCAGCTTGGGTTTCCTGAGCTGTCTCTTAGTTATGCTGCTATATGCTTAGACTGCTGGAGGACAAACTGACCACATTTTCACTCTGCTACTGTCTTTACTTACTCTGCTCAACCTGTTTTGTATTTGTAATATTTTTTTCTATCCTTAACATGTGTTTTTGTCTTTCAGGTACACCTGGACCTATATCTGGATCTACCATTCTATGTTTGTCTGTCTCTCCTTCCTGTCCTCTCAAACCAGCCGGTCAAAGCAGATGGCCACTTGTCCTGAGCCTGGTTCTGCTGGAGGTTTCTTCCTTTTAAAAGGGATCTAAAAAAGTTAAATCTGGTCCTCTGGACATTCAAAAAAACAAAAACAAAGCAAATCAACAAAAAAATGTAGAAAAACGTTTTGTCTATCATCCGAGAGACTTCCTCAGTCTGAGGAGCTGTATTCAGCTCAGTCTCTTAAATAGCACTGTCTCAGGGTGGATCAACCAGTTTTGCTGCTGACAACCAAAACCAGCTGATCACATGCTCAAGAAGGACCATCAGCATAACAATGGATCATTAGCACACTGATGGCTGTTTACTATTCACAGAGGGCTGAGTGATACTAGCAATCACAGCATTGTAAGAGGGGGACAGTTGAACACGTAGGCCTCCACCCCTGTTTAATGATGGACAATTTCTTTTCACAAAGATGGCCTCCTTTACTCCTCTCTCAAACCATCGTTCCTCTCTGTCCAGGATGTGAACATCTTCATCCCTGAAAGAGTGACCGCTGGCCTGGAGATGAGTGTAGACCGCAGAGTCCTGGCCTGATGATGTTGATCTTCTGTGCAAAAGGGAGTTTTTCCTTTCCACTGTTGCCACTGTGCTTGCTCAGGATGGGAGACTGCGACAAAGCCAAGATTCAACTCGTCTGCTGGATTCCATAAATATAGAACTTTACTAATTGGCTTTTATGTATGTAAATGTTTCTGTAAAGTGCCCTGAGACAACTTTGTTGTGATTTGGCACTATGTAAATAAACTGAATTGATTTTTTTTCATAATGTCTAATCATGATAACTGTGAACAATTTCCCCTTGAGTTTCATACAACAATATCAGATGTAATGAGTTTATGTAGCAGATTAAATTTTCAAGTAATAATTTATATAGTTGACCATTGTATACATCTTTTTTGATTCATGCATTTTACTGTACATTTTAAAAAATGCACAATAAAGGGCTGGTTTCCCTAGAAAACAGGCACTATGGCCTCAACTACAATGCAGTTAAAGCTCTCCCGGAGGTTTGAGTTGAAGATATTTCTGAGTGGTTCTTCTGCCAGGCGTTCCCAGCAAACCTTCACTACACATTTGGATCTACGGGATCTGTCCAGTATTTTCCCCTGCCATCTGAAGCAGCTCATTACCAGGTGGTGATCAGTTGACAACTCAGCTTCTCTCTTCATCTGAATGTCCAAAACAAACAGCTGCAAATCAGATGACATGACTACAAAATCAATCAGTGATATACCTGTATGACCTAGGACATTCTGGTGCCAAGTGTACCTGTGGACACCCTTATGTTCAAACATGGTGTTTGTGATGGACAAACTATGACTAGCACAGAAGACCAACAACAGAACACTGCTCGGGTTCAGATCAGAGAGGCCATTTTTCCCAATCACACCTCTCCAGATCACACTTTCATTACCCACATGGGCACTGAAGTCCTCCAGCAAAATAAAGGAGTCCCCAGCTGGAGCACCTTCCAGCACCCCTGCCAAGGACTCCAAGAAGGCCGGATACTCTGAACTGCTGTTTGGCACTTAGGCACAAGCAACAGACCGAGCCCATCCCCACATCTGAAGGTGCAGGGAAGCTACCCTCTCATCCACCAGGGAAAACTCTAACCTGGACACACAGCATACGCTCAAGAATGAAATTTATTGGGAGGGACTGGGCCTTATTCTTCTCGGGAATTGCCCATGGTGAGAGGCGCTGAGCTGGTGTGGGTCTACTTTTAGTCCACCAGCTTGGTGCTTGTTGGGTAGAGACCTGGTCACCAGGCACTCACCGATGAGCCCTTCCCCCAGGCCTGGCTCCAGGGTGGGGCCCCAATAACCCACGTCCAGGCAAGGGACACTAAGCTTCTTGTATTATTTTGTCTATAAAAGTCTTGGGAATCTCTTTCTGATCTGTCACCTAGAACTAATCTGCCTTGGAACACCCTACAAGGGGCAATTATTATTGCCCCAACAGCATAGCTTCTAGGACCATTCAGGTGCACAAACTCCTCCACCAAGACAAGGTGGCAATTCAAGAAGGTTTTAAACATGTCAAAATCAAATAAAACAGACTTAACTTTATGATTTTTTTTAAATCAAAAGCTTAAAGGAAACTGATTACATATTCTGCAGAAACAACAAGATATTATTGGAATCAAAGGTAACTTTACCGAAACAGTTCAAGTGAATCTGACAGGTGACCTCAAGGTCAGAAGTTTTAGTCAACAGAGCGCTTCTTCATGCTACATTTCTGACTTTGGCTTAGGAGTGGCTTGACTTGAGGAATGCAACAATTGTAGCCAATGTCTAG